TTTTTTTTTTTTTAATTTTCTCTTGCATCTCTCACACTTTCTGTGTGTCTGTGGATATTTGAGCATTGAAAGATTGCTATGGTGGCATCCAATTTGGCGCTTTTCACAACTTTATTTTCATGGAAATGTTGTGTCATTTTTTAATACTTATACATGTAGAGGCAGATTTGGGAATTTTTTTTCTAAAGCCTCTACTGAGTGAAACAGATTGCATGTATCTATAGTAATTAATGTCTTTAAATACTAATAACAGTCTTCCATACTCTTTATAATATCCTCAAATAAGTGACCAGTAGTGTCTAACTTGCATCAACCACCTAGAGTTTCTACCAATTTTGAGACTATACGTGTGTGTGTGTGTGTGTTTGTGTGTGTGTGTTCCTCTATCAAACATTTTATTATGATCAAGATTATGGCTCTAATGGGTTGAATTCATAATAGGTTGAATTTCTCATGGGAGAAATGAGTGTATACATGCACACACAATCACACACACTTTGATCTTCAGTTCAGCTTATATGTAACTTTAGGTTTAAAAAAACTGTAAGTTATTTATCAATGTATTATGTTTCTTTTTCAGGAAATGTTTTTGTTGTCAACCTAGCTATCGCTGATTTGATCATAGCTATCTACCCCTATCCCCTGATCTTGACATCTATCTTTCATAATGGCTGGAACCTTGGATATATACACTGCCAACTCAGTGGATTTTTTATGGGCCTAAGTGTTATTGGATCCATCTTCAACATTACTGGAATTGCCATTAATCGGTATTGCTACATCTGCCACAGCCTCAAGTACAACAGGTTGTACAGTGAAAAGAACTCTGTCTGCTATGTCATTCTAATCTGGACCTTGACTTTGGTTGCCATCGTGCCCAACCTTTTTGTTGGATCCCTTCAGTATGATGCCAGGATTTATTCCTGTACTTTCTCCCAGTCAGTGAGCTCCACGTACACCATAGCAGTGGTGCTTTTTCATTTCATGCTTCCAATAACCATAGTAACATTTTGTTACCTGAGAATCTGGATCCTAGTTATCCAAGTACGGAGAAGAGTTAAACCTGACTACAAACCTAAGCTAAAGCCACATGACTTCAGGAACTTTATCACCATGTTTGTGGTCTTTGTACTGTTCGCAGTTTGCTGGGCTCCATTAAATGTCATCGGCCTCACTGTGGCTATCAGTCCAGAAACAATCATTCCCAAGATTCCAGAATGGTTGTTTGTTTCTAGCTACTACATGGCGTACTTCAACAGTTGCCTTAATGCTATCATTTATGGACTTCTCAACCAGAACTTCCGACGAGAATATAAACGAATACTTAGGACAATTTGTACAAGAAAAGTTTTCTTCCAGGACAGTTCTAATGATGCTGCAGACAGGATAAAAAGCAAGCCCTCGCCCCTGCTCACAAAAAACAATTTAGTGAGGGTCGGCTCAGTATGAAAGGAGAGGTCTAGTTACTGACAATTAGTAAAGATTATGATTCATGACATTCAAGTATTAAATCCACGTATTAGTCCTATTGTTCAACTTTTGTTACAATACATGGATCCTTACATGTACATATGCATTTAGATAAGATTATATGTACAACATTTTGGAACCAAAGTAAGTAATTACATAAATATTCTACTATCACATTATGTATGATGTTACACACAGCAGACATGATCTCAACAAAGATACTTGAAAACCATTGATGCCAATGGAGGCAGTTAAGAAAACAATAGAGTTACATCTGACATTGATTGGATACTTTCCAGTAATTCAGCGACAACACAAATCTATAGTGCAATCCTACACAAGTCTTTTCTGATATAAGCTCAGTGAATTCCTAAGGGCTTATAGGTGGGTACATGAGGTATCGAATTGCAGCTTTGGGTTATTACAGAATTATGAAACAAATCATTGTAAATTGTTTGTGTAACTTAGATTAGCTCAAGAGGTGGATTAAAACTAATAGATTCATTGCTTTGATCTCCTATGCTTATCACAGCCTCTTCCAACATTTGCTATCCCTAGAAGAAGTTTTGTGAATACACACAGCTTCTCCACAGAAGCTTCTATGTAAGTGATGCAGAGGAGGTAAAAAGTGAGGAGATTGAGAGACTGAGTTACCTCTTTGCCTCAATCAAGAAAACTGCATTACATGGCTTCAAATCTAACTCAACTGCTATCCCCATAATTTGGGGGCACATCTGAGGGCCAGAAAGACTTTTGATACAAAGCCTCCTTTGGCCTGCCTAAGACAAACTTCAAGATGCTTTCCCTTTTTGCTTCTTCAGATATCAGAGCTGGATGAGGTCTTGAAAGAGCTGGGAGGTGCATCTGATGTCTTTTTTTTGATTCTGCCTTTATTATTTTTATAAATAACTCAAGGCGGCAGACATATCTAATACTCCTTCCTCCTCCTCCTCCTATTTTCCCCTCAACAACAACAACCCTGTGGGGTGAGTTGGGCTGAGAGAGAGTGACTTGCCCAAAGTCACCCAGCCAGCTTTCATGCCTAAGGCAGGACTAGAACTCCCAGTCTCCTGCTTCCTAGCCTGGTGCCTTAACCGCTAGCCCAAGCTTTCCCCATTTTATTTTTTTATCTCCCCATTGAGGGAAGATTTTTCTTTATGTTCTGGATGGGGGTATCCTTGAGAGGGGTATTCTTAACTTAAGGTTGCAATCATATATACATTTATTCTGGATAATAAAATATTTT